AAAAAATATTTTACTATCTGAAAACTTCTCCATTTGATTTGTGATTGTTTAATTTGTAAATTCAAATTGATTGCGCGCACTATTCATTAATTAGATCATATTGACAGAGTTTACTTTTAGTTCGCTTTACTTGGCCTTTATTCCCAGAGAACGCTCAACACTCATTCAGAAACGCGTGCTATTGAACGTTTTGGCTAGACACTTCCCTGCAGTACTTTTTGTTTTTTGTTTTCTGCCTTTGCTTTCTTTTTCCCTGCAGCCACTTCTGCAGCCAGTTTGGCTTCAGTTCTGTGTGGGTCGCTCACACTACCACCAAAGGCACAGTGTGCGTGTCAGCTCTTTTTCACTCTTTCGGTGACGCCGACTGCCGGCGCCTTAATTGCGACATCTCACTTAAAGCTGTCAAGCCATGTAAGCCTACTAGCAACAACAGCAGCAGAAAAACCAGGACCAGGAAGAGAAAATTCATTGCTGATGATTAATTTGTTCACATGCTCAGCAGACGACGACGAGGACGACAACGACGAGAACCTGGCTAGCCAAAATAAACATTAAACAGACTGCTTTCTTTGTCCTTTGCATTTTTCCTGCTCATTTTGCCGAATCTCTTTGTCTGGCTAGTATGACCAGCAGCCTAGCCACTGCACTGCCTTATCACACATTGCCACCAATTGCAGCTCATTTGAATTGATAATGCCACTCATTCATTGATTACCACATTTTTTTACCGCACAGAGAAAAGGAGGGCTTGTCAGATGATACCGAAAGAAAGAGAGCAAAAAACACTATCACTAGCGCAGCTTGTGCTCGTTAATTAACGCAACCACTGATTACCTGCTTTTTATTAATTACTCAACAACACTTGACATTCCTCGACACATTTAGGGAGCATTTACTGCCAAGTGGCGCTCTCACTGCTGCTACTGAATGCGTCCCTGAAGAGTGGCAGGGCGGCAGGCAGGCAAAAAGTTAACAGAAGACTACTGCAGGCAATGCTCAACTAAATGAAACTCATAGCCAGCACACCAATCAATCTATTATGCTAATGGCAAGGCGATAAAAAATGGCAGAAAAGAGTGTGTGCTTGAAAGTGCGTTTTATGCGCCTTGCCTTGCCTAGTAAAGTGAATGGCAGTTCTAGTTTGTAGCAGGCACTTCGTTTGAGCTGCAGAGTAAACGAAGAAAAGAGCGCGGTATACTTTGTAGCTTTGTTACCGATCGCTCGCATTACCAGTTTATGCATTGACGTTATCTTCGATCATTAGACTAGTCTGCTGTAGTACAGACTGTAACCGATCTAGACGATCCAGACTAATGCTTGCTCCTCTTCTTTTTCTTCTTCTTTTCCCTTTAGTTCCAGGCAGCTTTTCCCACTTGACACAAAAGCGAGGAAGGAGGCAACACTACTGACTACTGTCATGCCACTGCACATAGTGAGTCATGGATTTCGATGATCTGACGCAGCGCTTGCTGGTGGCCTTCCTCAACAGCAACGGCAGCACTGACCTCACTGATCGACTTAAAAATGGTTACCACCGCCTCACCAGGCACTCCACCCACAGCTGGCACCAACAGCAGCAGCAACAACAACAACAACAAACTGCTGATGTCGCCATTGAGCGTCATTCCTCTGAGGTACAACAGCCGTCCATTACCACCACCACCTCCAGCCCCAGCACAGCAATGTCCACCACCTTTCCAGTGCCACCAACCAGTGCCACCAACATCATCATGGCAGCCATGCTGCCGACGCCGGCCCGCCTGCAGCAGTCGCTTGAATCGGCGTCATCCGCCTCAGCCTCTTCAGCTCAGTCGTTCAACTCAGCCGACTCATCGTCAGCCGACTCTGATGGCATTCTCTATGACATCTTTCTGCACAACGGCGACCACTACCCCCTGGCGACAGTGACCCCACCGGGCAATGGCAGCGGCTGGCTGGACGGCACGGCCGGCTTTGGCCCTCCCGACGACGGTGGCGACTCCATCATCAGTCGACTGCACCTGACGGACTTTGTCATCGGCATCGTCCTGGCCATCGTCACGCTGGCCACCGTCATCGGCAATGCGCTGGTCATTGCGGCCATCCTCAGAGAGCGGCACCTCCGCTCGGTGGGAAACTACCTCGTCTTCAGCCTGGCCGTGGCCGACCTGATGGTCGCCTGTCTGGTCATGCCACTGGGCGCCCTCTACGTCGTCACCNCGGTGGCGACTCCATCATCAGTCGACTGCACCTGACGGACTTTGTCATCGGCATCGTCCTGGCCATCGTCACGCTGGCCACCGTCATCGGCAATGCGCTGGTCATTGCGGCCATCCTCAGAGAGCGGCACCTCCGCTCGGTGGGAAACTACCTCGTCTTCAGCCTGGCCGTGGCCGACCTGATGGTCGCCTGTCTGGTCATGCCACTGGGCGCCCTCTACGTCGTCACCGGCCAGTGGACGCTGGGCGCCGCCTTCTGCGACCTGTGGACCACCGTAGACGTCCTCTGCTGCACGGCCTCTATTCTCCACCTTCTGGCGATTGCAATCGTAAGTTTTGTTCCGCTTTTTTCTTTTTTCTTCTCAGTTCATTACCGTAATTAATATCCCAGCACAAACACAACTGAGAATCAGGCAAACATCGATGGGGAGAAAAAAGCAACTCTCGACTATTGGCGGCACGCTCTCTTCAGTGCGAATTAATTAAAACAAAGCAGCCTAGAGCTCTCTGACTGAGACTGCTGCTCCCAAATAATGCTGCCAACTCTCAATACTTTATATTCCCTGCCAATTTATCCTCCTCCAAGAAAGGCTCTCCTCAATTATTCGTCGCCAAATTAGATTGTGTGTGCGTGTGTCTGTGTTTGTGTCATCGTTGTGATCTAATCCGTACTCGATGCTCATTACCTAGCTTCATTAGTGATTCGATGTGCATTTTATTCATTTTCTTTAATGAAACTCCATTTACAATGGCTGTTGTTGTTGATGTTTTCTAAAGCTGAGAAGCAGACGATTTGACGGACGCAAAACTTGATAGTGCACAGAGTCACTTTTGCAGGCACATCTCGTGCCTGCGCCATTAGCAAGTACAAAGTAGAAGAAGTTGTTACAGCAGAAGAAGCAGCAGCACTGATGCGCAAAAAATCTTTTTGCTCTTTGTCACTCCAGTTGGCAAATCATTAGAAGACAACTTTTTTTGTTTTGTTTTGTTGTTGTTCTCGTCTTTTCGCTGTGGCTCTCTTTGTATTGACGGCAATCTGAATTGCATCAAAGCAAATAAAAACAAAACATATTCGCCCAGTTAAATTGAAGATAGAGTTGTGCAATGACTGACTGACCGACCGACCCCTCGTAAAACTTCCCTTTTTTGAGAAGTAAGGCTATGGCGTTGCTTTTCTGCACGCAAACCCACACACAGAATGAGAGATTTCAGTTCACTGGCAGTGTAAGTCAATTGATGATTAATTTGCCCATTGCTCGATACTGCTTTCTTTCTTTCTCTTGCTGTCCTCGGATTGTTACTGCCCGTCGACGATTGGCATCCCCTCTGCACTGTCTCTTTCTTTCTTTGACTTGTGCAACAACTGCATACGCTTGCGCCAAGTCCAAGTTCCTTTACCAAACAGACGACGACAACGACGATGACGACAACCGTATGCTGGTCGCATTTGCCGGCAGAAGCGGCAAAAAGAAAAACCATAGACAAACGGACAAAAACACACACACACACACAGTTGGCCTATTGATTGATTTGTTTGCTTGTGTGTGCATGATTCAATGACTGAATGATTGAATAGCACAATCTTCAGTTTTGTGTGCCAGTGTGTGATTAAATTCACATTTACACTGCTTTTTTCAAACTCATTCCACAATTTTTATTTTTTGTTTTTACAGCACTCAGGTCATGCGTGTTGCCATTTGGCACCATTAGGCAGCTGCTGTTGCTGCCTCTTTGGACACAGCTGCCCTCTTAAAAAACACCTAACGTAGCACCTTTGCCATTTTGAAAGTGGCCTGGCTGCCTCAGTGCACAGGTGAGAGTGCCTGTGTGCAAGTGTGAGTGTGTTTGCCAATGTCAACTTCTCGGCAAACAACAAATCGCCTCATTTTCAGTGAGTGCTTTTTTAGCCAGCTAAAAATATTGTGCCATTTGGGCGTCTGAATGGGCGAAAGGCTGCACGCACTTGCCATTTGATGCAATCGATGCAAATGAACAACATTAGCCTGCTCTGTGTAACAGTTAATGCTGTTCTCCTTTGTCCTCATCTGTTCCTTTCGCCAACTTTTTTTTCTGCCTTTGCTGCTTCATTTTCCTCTGAAGCTTTTCCTGAGTACGCATTCCCCTAGCGCCTTGTTTCGCTTTCTTCTTTTATCAACAAAAAAACAGTATCTGTTCCCTGGCTGCCCAACTCCAGCAGATTGTCTCAATGAAATCGGTTTACTTGCATTCCACTTCTATGTTTTGTATCTGTTTTTTTTGTTTTTGTTGTTTGCTTTGTTACTTTCTTTTTTTCCCTCTCTTTCATTTGCTTTCCTTTGTAGGGCCAGCCAACGTTGGCAATCCATTTGAATTAATGACAAGTCGAGTCAACTGGAATTTATTATTAGCTCTGTTGCATTCAATTTAATTAATGGTCAAAATATTAAAGTTCAGTATAAGCGAAAACTGGTCACATTGAATGGGGCAAGGGGCGACGAATTGACGTTGTTCAGCAGCTTTTGACCAGTCTTTTGAAAATTCCCACTCACTGTCCCGAATTGTGATGCAAACACTGCATTCACTACAGACTGCTGCTTTGTACTACAAATTGAACAACAACAATGACTTTGCACAGTTTATTCAGTGACTTTGTGTTGTTTGCGTGTGTGATCATGTTCAACTCTGTGTTTTGCTGCTCCTCCTTTCTCATTCACTTCCTCATTTCAACTTTCCATTTTGTTTTTCTCCCATTTTCCCTACAGGATCGCTTTTGGGCAGTGACCAACGTGGACTACATTCACCAGCGTCGCAATGGCCGTCGAATTGGCTTGATGATTCTGCTCATCTGGGCGGCCTCCATTGTCATCTCACTGGCGCCCATCTTCGGCTGGCGTGACCCTGACTTTCCGGTGCGCATCGCCCAACGACAGTGCCTTATCTCGCAAGATGTTACCTACCAAATTTTTGCAACCTGTGCCAGCTTCTACGTTCCACTGGCTCTCATTCTCCTCCTTTACTGGCGCATCTACCAGGTAGGTCGTTTCCGGCTCTGTTAACGATCATGGCATAGGCGACAGTTGAGAAAGAGAATAAAGTGCTCCAGTCCATGTGACCTGTCACTTGCACTGAGTGCACCTTTCACTCATTCACTTGGCTGATTTTTTTTGCTCTTGCATAATTTGGCCAATTCACCTGAGTTGCTCCTGGATTTTTATAATTAAATTATCAGTCACACATTCACACATATGTTGTGTGTCCCAGTGAAGCATTTTCTTTTTTCTTTCTTTTTTTTGCATTCAATTTCACGACTGTTTGTATGATAGCACTGAAACAGTGAGCGCTGTTCTCCAGCTGATTCATTTAGTAAAAAGTGCTGGTGAAGCAGCGTTGTACGCTGTCTGCCCCTCTGAAGCACCTGCACAATGCAGTGAAAATTCTTAAATTGCAAAGCAGACTACTGCTTAGATATTGTTAAAAATTTTAATTAAACACATGTGTATGCTCGAAAACTAAAAACAAACTTAAAACTGTCTAGGGCTGTTAAAATAATGTAGACGTTGTTTTTTAAAGTTACATTTAAAATGGTAACTAGATTTTTCTCGTCTTTTTTTACAGCACTTTTGAGAGATGCTTTGTTTTCAAAAGCACGTATCTTGTTATGATAAAATGTGTTCTACTGAAGATAGCAACAGACAAGAAGTGCCTCAAAAGTAGTAGACTGCTAAAAGAAGTGTGCGCAAATTAAAATCGACATAAAGCAAGTGCATGGCCAGGGCAATAATTAGAATTAAGACGTCGTCTACAAACAATAGCAATCCATTTAATCTAGGCGCCTTGTCTCTTTCTTTTTTATCTTTTTTTACTTTTTTGTTAATTGTGCAAATTAAAATAAGAGTCTTGAAGTGCACTGAATAAAGAAATGAAATTCTGTTAAATAAAATAAGATATGCATGAAAATGAAAAATTTTGATCTAAACCGTTGTTAGCAATGTTGAAAATGAAAGTAAGCGTCAATCAAAGTTTTTATCTTTTTCGTCATTGTAGTCGTTCTCAAACTTGACATCTTTGTTTTTGAAACAACACTGGAACACATGCAGAGATTTTTCTTTTAAGCTTTCCTTTTTCTGAGCCAAGTGAGGCGGAAAACAATTGCAAACTGTGTGTTTTCTGAATATGTGTCTAGGGCTCTAATTACAGTGAGTTTGCAAGAAAGACTAAACCAAAAAAATTTTGTTTTGTGCCAAAGCAGTTGGTGGATGTCTCAATCACTGCACTGCTTCTTTTATACGGGTTATTTTTTGCCTTACCAACAGCAAAAACAATCTTAGGCACGCATACTGTTTCTCAGAAAGCACTGCTATTGGTCACGGTCACGATTCAACACTTTTTGCCATTTTTTTGTTCAACAATGGCTCGTGTTTACACTTAATCGGCAGCTTATTAACAAACTAAAAATATATAAGTGTGACAGCAGTTGACGCTAAAACACATTTTTTGTACAGCAGTATCAGCAACCCTCTAACGATTTTTTAGTAAAAAGTCTCAATTAGAGTTGTTATGGTATTAGTAATATTAAATATATTTCCTTTCTATTATTGGCTTTGCCATTTGTTTTTTCCAAAACTTTTACAGCACTCATTGTGTGTGTAAGAGGGTTTTCCCCTTTTTCTCTTTTTTATACTTTTTTTGCCTTTTCTTTCCCACCTTGGCCGAGACCCGTTTCACTTACCATTGAGCGTCATTAGAGCGAATAGTTTGTTGCACTTTGCTCATGTCACAAGATTGTCGTCTAAAGGCTTGCCTTTGAATTTATAAGCAATCACATGGAGAGAAAACAAAAAAGAAAGCTCTTGTTTTTGCTATTGACGGCACATGACTCTCTGTTTTTTTAGAACTACCTAAAGTAAAAGGACTTTTTATTCACTCACACTTTTCTATTCAAACGTTATTTTGTTTGTTTTTTCAATTAATTGAAATCCATTATTACTTTGCCAGTGCTGCACCGCAATCAACTTTTCTTTTATTTAAAAAAACTACTTTTATCTGCCTCTTTTATTGATAACTTTCATTTCGTTCACATTTATTTTCACTGCAGTACATTAATATTGTTTTAAGTTAAAAAATTAAAATTTTATACGTTTTTGAGGCACAGCTCAACCGAATAGAGTGCTTGCTTAACGCAAAATGGATTTTTTTATCTCTGTCAACTCATTTGGCAAGGATCATTTCTATCGACACAAAGCAGTGCAGAGAAGCAAAGCTTTATTAAATTCGGATCGAATTAAATTGATATTTTTTCAAATCGGAATTTTTAGTTTTTCGGCAGTTAAAAACACCATTGAAGGCATTAGTGGACTGCAGTTTTTCAAACTTTTAATGACAGCACCACGTTTTGTCTGTTTCCAATCAGGCATTTTTTGGGTTTCCAAATAAAAATGTCTTTCAAAAAAAAAGTACAGTATTGCAGGCGTCAATGAAAACACACTTTTTTCCAATTAGACAAAACATTAGCGAGAAAACAATGGTGTGTGTCTGTTTGGGTGACGCAGACAAGAAGTTGCTGTAGCATGTCGACTGAAACTGGCTGGCCATGTGTGCCTGTCACTGTCTCGGTCACTGGCCCTTTTTCTTTGTATTGCCCTCAACACTGCTGTTTTTTTTGACTAACAACTAACTACTTATCATTGGCCAGCCACGCTCCAAATTGACATGACTACAACTCTACAGACGTTTTCCGTTGTAAGNAAGAAAACAATGGTGTGTGTCTGTTTGGGTGACGCAGACAAGAAGTTGCTGTAGCATGTCGACTGAAACTGGCTGGCCATGTGTGCCTGTCACTGTCTCGGTCACTGGCCCTTTTTCTTTGTATTGCCCTCAACACTGCTGTTTTTTTTGACTAACAACTAACTACTTATCATTGGCCAGCCACGCTCCAAATTGACATGACTACAACTCTACAGACGTTTTCCGTTGTAAGATTTTGCCGGCAGTGGCACACTTTGCCAATCAAAACCGATTTACAAAGGATGCTAGTTGCGTACAGTGCACACAACTCACTTGAGATTATCGTTTTTAGCCAAAATCTGGTCGTTGTTTTGTATTTTTTAGGCAAACACTTCACACTTTTAGTTTACTGGTTTTCGGAAAACACCACAATGAAAAGACAGTTGTTTTTACTTCCTTGTTTTAGCCCCTTTTTGGCAAAAAGACACGCAATGCCTGTAACTAGTAGTAGTATTTTGCGACATTTTTGCCGCCTAGCCTAATCGTCTTTTCCGACAACTCTTTTACCCTCCATCACCACCATTATCATGCCTTTAGCTGACACTTTTGTTTGCAATTTTTATGTGCAACATTAACTTAATTAGCCCGCTCCAATAGACAGCAAAACCATCAGACAGGCAGTTGCAGCAAAAAGTCAGCAACAACACAACAGTCAAAAAAGACAAGCAGCAAATCTGTCTGACTGTGTTTTCAGCTATGTTTTCACCAATCAACATAAGGCTTCAACAGTGATACAGAGGAATACGAAACACAATACACTGGCCCACTGCACTCACTCCAACGGACCCATTAAGGGAAAATGACAATTTCGCCTGAATGAGTCAATTTGGATTGTGCTTAGTCTTCTTGTTTTTGCGCCTATTTGGGAGCTGGTTTTCACAGTGCAAAGTGATTTGTGCCAGCCATTCGGACCTACTGCGCTACTGTAGCCAGTGAGCTGGTTAGGATTGTGCTTACGTCAGAGTTGAGAAGTTTTTTGAGAAACATTGCCACCGGTGGAGCAAACAGCAACAATTTTTAATGCCACGGTCATTTGGTACAGCAGCAGCAACAACAACAGCAACGACAAATCGAGAGCAGCAACAGAAACAGTGAATGTGTGAATTCAGTGAACGTTGCTGCTGGCAATTATACAAATTGGTGCATTCATCCGCGCGTCTAGACAAATGAACAGTAATTGGCCGACACTAATCTGCAGCACCAGCAGCAACTACTAAAAAGAAGAAGAAGAAGTATATAAGGAAAAACTGGCAGTGCAGCGCAGTGCACCAGTGGCCATTTGTGCAGTCAATNCAGAAACAGTGAATGTGTGAATTCAGTGAACGTTGCTGCTGGCAATTATACAAATTGGTGCATTCATCCGCGCGTCTAGACAAATGAACAGTAATTGGCCGACACTAATCTGCAGCAAGTAACTACTAAAAAGAAGAAGAAGAAGTATATAAGGAAAAACTGGCAGTGCAGCGCAGTGCACCAGTGGCCATTTGTGCAAAGTCATTTTAGAAATTACACTCTTTACAATTGTTTGGCAGAGTCCTGCTGACTGAGGTGGCAGTCTCCAATCTCCCCCTCCCCTTTCCATCTTTTGGTGCACTGTGGCATTGCCAGCACGATCAGTGCACCTTTTTCTTCTTTGCACACTGCCTAATGATGCCTGCCCATCCTCTGCGTTATCAGTGTGCCTGTAAATGGTGCAAGCCCGCCATGTAACTTTGTTCTTCCCCCCCCTTCTTTTGCCGCACGTCATTTGCGTTCATCTTTTTCTTATACTTTTTTACTCTTCTTCTTCATCATCATCATTTTCATCATCTTCTTCTTGTTTCTGTTCCCTCTTTGCCTCATCTGCTTTCTCAACTGATGCTGCTGCTGTTTTGGTGAATCATGGCTATCAAGCAGGGCTGCGCTTTGCTTGCAAATTAAGCAGTGAATGAGACTTTGGGGAGGAAGAGGAGGTGGTGGCTCAGTCAGAGAATGACACACACAAACAGACATTGGCTTCACACTGCGGCGACACACATTTGGTCCCCCCTTACATGCACAACTTTGGTAAATGGCACTTTACCAACCACTATCACCATCGCCAGCACCATCACAACCACTACTAGACAGTGTGTTTGTTGTGAAGATGTGTGTGCCTGGGCAGCCTGGAATGAAAGCAAAATGCAGATCATAAAAAACATAACGAAGAGATAGGAAGAGATGTGCGAGCAGAGCAATTTACAGCAGAAATTATAAAGATTAAATGAAAGGGAAATTATGGAAGTTGTCTATTAAATTGCTTTGCGTCGTCGTCGCCTTTTTCTTTTGCAGGATACCCCTCGTCCATGTTGTTTTCTTTCCCTTCCTACTTTTTCCATTTTTTGCTTTCTGCTGTTAGTTAGTGGCATTGTTTTTTCGCTGCTAATCTTGTCTAATTCGGGCACGATCTTCTGATAAAACGAGGCAAGGCAAGATGGGTTTGCTGTTTTGTCGTTTTTTTAGCTCAGTGCCATCCTAGCCCAATGCCTTTTTTTTGTTCTTGTCTTAATTTTTTTTTGCCCTCACTTGTGGTTCGTTATTGAAACTGTCACTCGAGGTGCTGGTAGAAGAGAGTTTCTCTTTCTTGTTTAACATGTCTCAACTCTGCTTAGCCCCAGTGTTTTCTTTGTTGTCTTTGCGGCCCTAACCAAATTTAGAGTTTGATGGCAAAACACAACTTTTTTCTGGTATTTTTGCTACAAGGACACCTAACCTCAAGCGCTAATTTAGGAAACCTAATGCCTATTTTTTTAAATATATTTTTATTTATAGTTTTTTTAAACAATAATATTTTTAACTGTTTTTAACTGTTTTTATTTAATTTTTTTAACACTTTTGATTGGTTCAGATCGCAAACGCACTTTTTGTTCTTTTTCACACAGGGAGACGTTTGATTCAATTAAACTCTTGTCTGACAAATGGGACTCTCAGTTAACTGAATTTTAAAAAAATAATTGAGGCAGTGTGCTATCACATTCTGCTACGCCTTTCATTGCACTACTTTCAAGAATGTCTTTCCATTGTTTTACTTTCAGTGAAAAATTGCTAATAAATTAGCACACATTGTTCTCTGGCCTAGTTCATAATGGCAATAGCAATAACAACTTGCCTTTCTAATGGAAAGTGCTGAACTCAACATTGCTTTGTGTGCCTAGTGCGCCTCTACAGTTTTGTTGTTGTTCCCCTGTAAAGTCTAGACCGTAGATGCACCATCAAACTGCATTATTAATTAGTTTTATTTCGCACTAAACGGGCATTTTCCGGACGCGCTACACATCCTAACTGGTGAGCTGCAGTAGATCAAAATATGGTCTTGACTCTTTCCACCAGGAGATTGTGATCACTTTCAAGTGCTAACTTCCTACTGCCGTCACTACTACTGCAACAACAACAACGGATGAAGATGCCAGTGGCAGAGGCAGCAGTTTTTGCTCTTTTTACCAGCTAATTAACTTTGAAAAATTATTAGCAATTGTTGAGTGGATGTATTTTAGCAGTGCAGCAGCTCCGCCCGAAAGTAGCAGGTTTAGGAGTCGAGGAGTTTTCTTGCTAGCTGCCAAATTGTCCATGTCACAAATTGAGTTAAAGCGAGAAGCAGACGTGCCATGCTAATTGGCAAGCCGTTGCCGAATGCTGTCGACAAAAACTACTGCAGCCCAAGCAGCTTCAACTGGAGAGGTTTTACTGTGGAAGGCACAGTCAGAGAGTACTAGAAAACGCTAAAAGCAGGTTCAGCCTGGATGCCTTTATTTTGATTTAATTTGCCATCCTGACGGTTGTTTTCAATTTTACTCAGCAATCGGGCAAATGTAAATAGACAAAATTATTTGCGATTAGATGAAATTTAATTTGATTTGTTCCCTCTCTTTCTCTTTCTCTCTTTCTGCTTCTTTTTCCATTCATCGGAGGTCCTTTCAAAACTAGGCTCAAATTGAAATGCATGCGTGCATGTTTGTAAAACCTTTTCAATGAAGGTTTTGGATTTTCTTGTTCACAAACTTGTATAGCTGTTTACATTGACTTTAGTTAGTTTAAAAAAATTTTAAGTTTTGCTGAGTGCATCTACAGATGACGTCACACTTGTCGTCACCCGCAGTTTATCTTTTTATAAAATCAGTTTGGCCGGCTAAAACATCCAAATAACTTTTTCTTTTTCCGTTTTAGGTTGCCCGGAAAAGAATCCGCCGAAAACCTGGAAACAAAGTGACGCTGGTGGCGCTGCAAAGTGCCTCCAATGCCTCCAATGCTGCTCACGTGGAGAATAAGGTCTTGAAGAAGGGCGTAAAGATGGGCGGGGCGGCTGGTGGTCACCTCAGTAAGACGTCTCGCAAGTTGGCCAAGTACAGTGCCGCCAAGTACTTGCAGGGGGCCACCCGACTGCACTCGGACATGATGTCTCTAGATACGGAGCACTGTCTGCACGCATCAGCGGACAGTCTCGCCTCGGATGGAACGCCCGGACATCAGGCACAGCAGGGAAACCACAGCAGACACCTGCAGCACCACCAGCTCGGCGCCGATGGTCATCACCAGCAAATGAGGTCCGGTTCACCCACCTCCTTTTCTTCCTCGAATCACCACCAAAAGAGCCGTCTGTCGATCTCTTCTATTGCACGCACCACAACTACCTGCCTTTCCTCCTCCTCTCAGCCCACCAGTGATTATTCCTCAACAAACTGCTCAATACCAATTACCTACGTCCCTCACTCATCTCTTGCTACAACTAACAACAACAACAACAACAACAACTACAGTAATAACAACAGCAACAACAACCAATCAAGTCGACTGTTGTCCTGTGCAAAATCCATCGACACTGCCGGCTACTCGATCATCACCGAGGAGGGCTCCACCAGCTCAAGTTCAGGTGCACCTCCGCTGAACAGCTCCACAGTTGCCCTTCGCTGTTTGGAGGGAGAACTGGAGCCCGATGTGAATGAGCACTCGCCCTTGCCTGTTGTCAACAACAACTTCAGCAGCAGCAGCAACGCCACTAACGACCTTCTCCCCAGTGCCAATAGGTCGCCGTCTCTTCATCAGCAAACTGTGCCGCCCGAGTCGCCGTGTAGATGTGATCACAACTATCGACTTCGTAATGAAGCGATGATGCAACAGCAGCAACAGCAGTACCAGCCAACAACTACATCAACAGCAGCAGCACCAGCAGCAGCAAAACGTCACAGTTTAGCACAGCAGAATCAGGGTCGTCGATGTCTGCTGTCGCCGTCTCGGGCCAAGTCTTTCTCCATGTCCATCTCTGCTTCGCCTAACGATGCTAATCAGAGAGCTCTGTGCAGCGGCCGAACGGGCGCCCCATTCGATCGTTATCGCGCCCAGTCAACTGACTCAACGCTCAACGAGCCAACATCGCCTTCTGTGCATCAGTTGAGTGCCGCCGCTGCCGCCGTCGATGATGATGATGATGATGCCGATGATGTTGGTGAAAGTGCCACAGCCACTACAACTAGTGCACTCGATTCTGCCAATCGAGTTAATAATGATGCCGGTGCAGCTTCTCATCGTGGTAGTCGCCGTGCCAGAGGTTATTCTCTGGCTGGGNTTGAGTGCCGCCGCTGCCGCCGTCGATGATGATGATGATGATGCCGATGATGTTGGTGAAAGTGCCACAGCCACTACAACTAGTGCACTCGATTCTGCCAATCGAGTTAATAATGATGCCGGTGCAGCTTCTCATCGTAGTAGTCGCCGTGCCAGAGGTTATTCTCTGACTGGTGCCACCACCACCGCCACCACTGACTGTGTCGTCGACTTTCACCATCGACTTCCACCGAGTGATTCGACTGTAATTGCCATTGACACCAATTACCGCCACATGCAGAGAATGCCAGCAGAGGCCACCAATGGTGGCGGTGCTGTCCTCCCTAATGACGGCTTTGATCAGCCCGAAAGTGAGCTTGTCATTGCAACTGCAGGCGATCTTGCAGTGGTCGAACTAGTGCCAGTGCATCACTGCAATCACAACGCTAACGGTGGCCTCGCACAACAACAACAACAGCAACAACAAATACATCATGATCATCCTCCGGCAGCACTGACTGTAGTGAACATCACATCGACCACCCCCAACGAGCTTCCAATGAGCAACAACAAGGAGTTGAAGGAGGACAGCACCTCTTCCTCCGGCTCAACAACACAGCCAAATCACAACCATCAGCCGAATCACCGAGAGTCAAAGGGCTCCAGAAAGCGAAAGCCTCACAAGCAATCATCTGAGCACTCCAATCCTAGCCCCAGTCCGCACCAGTCTCGTCTCTACCAGAAAGAGTCAATTGAATCAAAACGAGAACGCAAAGCAGCCAAAACTTTAGCTATCATTACAGGTACGTTTTTCTAAAGTTTGTTACAAATTGAGCTCTTTTTCTCGTCACATCTGCACTCAAGTTGTGACTCAACACATTCAGTTTGAATATATCCTCTTGCTGTTCACTTTCCCTCTAGCCGTCTTTCCGTTTTGCCAGACAGTATAAAAACAATATCTCGCACTTATGCAGTGTTTAATGTACCAGGAAACGCATTTGAAATGAGACCTTAGTGGAAAGTGTTGCAGAGGCTGTTGTTGAGGAGACAGGCAGGCAGTGTAAGCCAGTAACTCAATTTCCTTAATAGCGTCTCGTCTTGTCAGCCTCCTCCTCCTCCTCATCGGCCAATCTCCTTGTCTCCTGTCTACCATCGCTTTGCCTGCTAGTGTGTGTGTGTCGCAATGTGTGTCCACCGCTCCCATGTTGTTCCCAGGGAGCAGCCGTTGCAGTTGATGACAACGTGCACCTTCAGTACGCAGTGGTCTTGCTGGGCTACTGGCGACATTTTATTAAGCAACAAAACGTATATCGATATACGCATACACAATTTGACATTGATATTATTCCTAGAGACTGCACCCAGGCAGCCGCAGCCTATCATATTTTGCCTATCAACTATTCTGATGTTAGTGCTGCTGCTTTTTGAAATTCACTCTCTCCTTCTTCTTCTGCAGTGCAAGTGCCACTGCAGAAGAAGGCAATATTTAATTTCCGTTTTGTTGGCCAAATTATTTGCTTTATTTTGATTATCTCTCCATTGCTTTTGATTGACTCGAGCACATGCCCACTTTACTGCTGCTGGTGCACACTGCAGGAGACTAGTCAAGTCAGGGTTTGCCAGCTCCATCCAGCATCAGCGCTTGACACTTGGCTGCTGTT